TGACTTAAGGAATCTTGTATTCAATGTGAATTTACTGACCACCGACTATGTGCCGTGCTCTGTACCCTTCTTAAATCCAGTGATTTCCTTAAAGACCTTCGGGCGCCATTTTCATCACCCCATCTTGAGGAGATCTCATGCATCATCCATCGTGTGGAGCTACACAAGGACCTAAGTTAAAATGTAAAGGTCCTTATGCCCACACTCCAACCCTAGATAATCATGTGGTTATTTCTGTAATGATAGCTCAGCAAGTTCATTCCTAAGCCTCCTTTACTATTGTCTCATACTCTTTAGGAGCCCTGGTGGTACAGTGGTTAAGAGCTATGGCTGCTAACCAAAAGGTTGGCAGTTCGAATCTACCAGCTGCTCCTTGGAAACCCTCTTGGGCAGTTCTACTCTGTCCTATAGGGTCGCTATGAGTTGGAATCGACTTGACGGCAATGGATTTGGGTTTTTTTTTTTTGTTTTTTTTTTGTATACTAGTTAATTCATAATTTACATCTCTAAACTAGGGAGAAACATCCCAGGGAAAGCAAATGTTATCCTTTTCCTCCACATCACCGCTATACAGGATTTTTCCAATGAGCTGTGAAAGGAGTTATGTTATTGTCAATAGCATCCAAGCTATTCTGCTCATAGATATTATATCTTGGAAAATTTGGACATTATCCCATTGCCATCGAGTCAATTCTGACTCGTAGTGACCCTATAGGACAGGGTAGAACTGCCCCAGAGGGTTTCCAAGGAGCGGCTGGTGGATTCAAACTGCCGACCTTTTGGTTAGCAGCCTGAGTTCTTAACGTTATAGAAAGGTGGAACTGGAGAAGTGGTAAAATGGAAGGGCAGATAATTTGGTAGATGCCTATGCAGACAAATGAGAGAGGGGCTGTGTGTATTGATCAGTAGAATGGTTTTTTATCTGTCCCCAAAAGGAAGCCAAGGCATAGATACTACAGAGAAAGGAAATATTTAACCCATTTGTTTTAGATGCCCTCCAGTTCCAGAGAATGTGTGTTTCTGGATGTCACCCAGAACTGCATTCCCATCTTCTCCTGTTCTTGCTCCTTGAAGCAGAAGGCTGACAGTGAGCCAGAGGAAGAAGCCCCTCATAAGAGGGCACCACCCTTCCATCTTCCTCTTCTAGGCTCTTCTCTGGGGACTCACCAGGAGCCCCCAAACTCTTGAGCTTAAAGGAGCTTGGACCACACGTTAGTTCCTGGTTTTGAATATTGCTTCTGTCAGGTGACCACTCCTGAGTGAGAGGCTGTGGCCAGAGAGGTCACAGGAGAGTGTCCTGCTCGGTCCCTGCCCAGGTATGCCTTCTGGGCTCCAGGCAGGATGGGAGAAGGGCCAAGACTAAGGGAGAAGCACTTGGTTACCAGCCCTGTCTAGATGAATAGTTTTAAATGTGCTCCAAGTACCTTTCAGGGAATATGGGGGGTTTAGGGTGGGGTGCTGGCAGCCCTGGAGGTGCAGTGGTTATGAGCTCAGCTGCTAACCAAAAGGTCAGCAGTTCAAATTCACCAGCCACTTCTTGGAAGCCCTCTGGGGCAGTTCTACTCTGTCCTACAAGGTCACTATGAGTTGGAATCAACTGGACAGCAATGGGTTTGTTTTCTTTTTTTTTCGTAGAGTGGGATGAGTGAGGCCGTTAATAAAAGCCTCACCACATCCCTGTGAACCTGTGCCTCAGGGAGAGTACGTGGGCCAGCAGGAAAGGGATGGTTATGCTCTCTTGTGGCAGGGACACCTACTAATTTCGGAAGACGAGAACATGTAATTATTTTGTTGCAGGCCTAGAAATGTAT